AGTCAATCAGAAACTCGGATTCACGTCTTCAGGGAAAGTCACGTTTGAACGCTCACATCGATTTTGTTTTCGTTCGGCGGGCTGATGCCTTCAGTGTAGCTTTTGCCCCTTCCGACATAGAAATCATCTGAATCTTCTTTCTACCCCTCTTTCTTTTCACACTACGCATAATGTAAAGATAAAAATTAGGAAAAACGCCGAGGAAATATAATGTTTGGTTTGCTGGCGAGCGAGAACTAATTTGAGAATAATTGCACATGCGCGTGAATTGAATGAACTATGACCCGTACAATCTCGATTTGCATATTGTCAATCAAAGGTCCTGTTATTTGGTTACTCATGCAAATTAGGCAATTGGACATAAACATTGCCACGTGTGAGTGTTTTTTATTTTTAACCAGAAAATAAACAGCAATTTTAACAGTTTTCCAATAAGAATTCATTGGTCAAATTTTCACAGAATGTTCTTTAGATAAAAATCTATATAAAAAACGAAAACTACTATTTTTGATTGAAATTCACAAATAAACTGCATCTCTACCTTAAATGCTCAAAAGCAATCTTGAATAAGATTACAAAATGAAAGTACGATTGATGCATTATTAAATCAAGTTGCTTGCTCAAATTGAAGAAGTCCCCTTGCCAGATTCATAGAACTCAACAAGTTACAACATCATGCATACTTACATCCAGCCTGTCTTTAGGTGGTAACCACATTTCACATTCTTTAACCCAATTCAGGACTGTATTTAGAGGTGCGACCACAAGACATGTGTTCATTTTACATCGACGTGTGCTTAAAATTGTATGAATAAATGTAAATACCTGTATAAAGAAATTGCATTATTATTATTATTGAAATATTACTACACATCATAGCCCAAATTAAGTCAATGCTTTGATCGCAGCTGTTTGCATAACCCACAGACATAACATTGTTGAATGATCATATGTACAGTTGATTTTGTAATAATTTAACTGATATTTAATTCTAGATAATTGTATATTTCATGATCTACACTTAAAAAGTAAAATCAATTACTGTAAAATCTGTATTAGAAGCTGCGGCTTCAATTAAAATGCTACAATGCAACAGAGGGGATGCGACTTCTATTAGAGCATCTACACATATGAGAAACAATGAATTTTTGGTTCTCAAATGTTTAAAAAGAATTTTTCTTTCTCAATTTTTCAAAAAGAATGGGTGTGGCTTCTATTAGGGATGCGGCTTCTAATACAGATTTTACAACAAATATAACAAATCTTAATTGCCATGTAAATTTTCATTTTAATTTTGTGAATGTGAATAAAAAACTTACTGATAATGTTTTGCCTAAACCCATACAATGAGCCAAGATGCATCCTCCGCCCTCATGACCATTTTTCAGTTTATCATAGGTTTCAATACAACAATCCCACATGAACTGTACAGCTTCTACTTGATGTGGCTTCAATTTTTTTATCAAGTCTTTGTTAACTTGAACTAATGGTTCATCGCTGTCAGGTTTAGACTCAAGCACCAGTGACATAGTCACTGGACATTTCTGTGGTGATTCATCCAATACTTGTATAACCTGAAATTGAATTATGTACTTAGAGATATCTATACTCGCTATGTGTACATGTGTTACAGCTAGGTTACATGTAGTAGGTGGTTAAGCAGGTTTGCGAGTTGATATTATCAAGACTGAATTGTATCTATTTACAGTTTCACTTTTACACTCACAAATCTTGAATGGATTAACCATATTTGTTCCATCTATGTAAATGACAGGTGAGTCTATGGTCAAAGCAAGACTTCAATGAATCAACATACAATGAATGCAATTTTTGATTTTTGCATGATTCTATTGGAGATGCACTTCTTATAGAGCAAACGCGGTTATGCTACTCCAGTTACGAATCATAAGCCGCAACTGTTAATGATGCAGAACTAGACATTTAATCTCCCCATACCTTGCAACTTTATTATCATGACAGACAATGCAAGAATACTGTAAAACACATTGATATAGCTACATGCCACTGTAGGGAAATTGACTAAACGCAGGACACAACAGAATCTCATTTTAGATAAAGTGCCAACAATCCTTGTGAGGATATACTTTGTTTTTCATTATTGATATCCTGAATTAGGGAAATTACAAATTCGCTAAAATGACATGCTAGCGAAAAAGACATTTTACAGTATGCAAGATTTCATCCCAATTAATAAATTAGAATTAGAAAAAGACGTTTTTTGAGATCACTGCGACTTCACCTGTCCTTCAATTTCATTACAGGCAAGAAAATAAAAAGACGCACATACCTGTTTGCGTCTCTCGGCAACCCTTTTTCTTCTTTCAGCTTCTTCCTTTGCAGCATTTTTAGTCTCATCTTGCAATTTATCTTTAGTTAAAACTTTTCGAATCTTCCTCCTTCCTTTTCCTTTTGGACTCTTTCCTGTATCTGTATCGTCACTCTGTTAAATTGAAATCAATTACTGTAATATGGCTTCAATTGTCACACAAGCAATGTCAGAGATGTGCCAGAGTAAAAACCTAATAATACATAACAACATACCTTGGAGTCAGAATCTGAAGAGTTACTTCCAACTTTAATACGCCTTCTCTTCTTGCCCTTTGTTTTCTGGTATGTTCTTGTTTTTTTACTGCCTTCTGTGTCATCTGATTGTGATTTTTTCCTCATTGAACGGGTCTTTCGTCTCAACTTTGATACATCAATAGAGGAATCACTGCTTGAGCCATTTGATGAAATTGATGATGATTGTGACGAACTTCTGTTTTTGCGTTTTCCCTTTCTGTGAGCAAATTCATCACTACTGTCAGATTCAGATATTTTCACTCTCAAGAGGCGGTTCCTCTTTTTTGATTTTCGTTTTACATCAGCAGCATCATCATCACTATTACTGCCACTGGAAGAACCTTCCTTTGTGCTAGTTTGTGATCCATCATTACTTTTCTTTTTCACAGACTTTTTTTTCTTTTTAACTTCTTCCTCGCTACTACTTGTATAACTGTCACTTGAATCAATATCTGAATCATCACTATCATTTTCTTTCAAAAGTTTCTTTCTCGAGTCTTCATTTTCATAATCTTCATTTTCCAAGTCATTAGTATCTAATAACTCCTGGTCTGACCCAGCTCCATAAGACTCTTTCTCCTCCTCATCTGAGCTTGAACTACTGCTTGATTCGTCTTCTTTTTTCTTTTTACAGCTGCTATCATTTTTCTCTCTAAGACAAGCTTTACTGCTGTCACTATCCAATCCTGTAACTGTGTTTTGCGTCTCTGTAGTACTCTCAGAATCTGAGTCAGAGACTGTTTCCTTGGATATCACTTTCTGTTTCGGTTTTGAGCGTTTTTTAAGATTCTTAGACAAACTATCAATTTCATCTTCAAGTTCAGAATCAAAATCTGAAGAATCTGATGTGTTTTTACTGCGCTTTACTTTGTCACTACTAGTTATCGTCATACTGTGTTCAGTATCGGAGTCTCTTTTAGTGGTACTGTCAGCTCTATGTCTTCTTGACCTTTCCTTAGCATCTGTGCCATCTTCAGACAAAGACTTGCTATGTCTCTTTGGAGTGTGCTTCAGTTTTCTAGGAGTAAGAGAAGATTTTCCAAACTTCAGTTTAGCCCTTGTCCTAGTACGAGTGTCTTCATCACTTGAATAATTACTTCCTGTATCAGATGATCCACTTGAGTCATCATCACTGTCAGCCAGTAGTGATGCTTGTATTTCAGCCAATAATGCACGTTCACATTCAACATCTAATCGACTTCGTCTACCAGATGATGTTGATGGTTGTGGTTCATCATTACTCTGCTCATTACCTCTACGTTTATGTGATGATTGTCTAGTCTTTTTGTGCTTCTCAGGACTATCTTCACATTTTGTAAGAGCTCTTTCAAGCATTTCTGTCCTTTCTTTAATATCTTTCAAGACATTCAGTAGATTTAAACCTTTGCCTTGACTTTTAATTTTCATTGATTTCGCCATATTTTGTTTCCACATCTCATATGCTTCGCTTCCCATCTTGTCTTTCTTTTGTACAAAAAGGTCAACTCTTTCAGTATCACCAACTAATCTTTGAATCTCCTCAGTCAATGATTCACTTTCTGATTCAGTTTTGCGCTCCAAACTACTGACAGAGCTTCGTCTTTTTTTTTTCAATCCTTTTTGATTTTTCAACTGCTCAAATAATTCATCGCAGTGTGTGGTGAGATGCAGCAATGGTTTAGAATCACAAACATAACACGTCCAATTCTTGGCATCATCAATGGCTGATAATTCCTTCCTACCCAAATTCCGTTTGATACAAGCCCGGCAGAAGGTAGCAGTGCAGAAATCACAACACACCAGTTTACCACCTTCACCACACCACTGACACTGCTCATCTGTACCATCTTCATCTTTAGTAATATTATCACTTGTGTAATAATTATGGCATCTCTGAAATAAATGTAAAAAAGAATAATTCAATACATAATCTTTGATGGATAGCAACATTTTAAAATCATTAATAGAAGACAAGATTTTTTTTTATTTGCACATATCTGGTAATATTGTAAACAAAACTAAGATGGGGTAGGTCTATGTTTTTATTTTATTTTTTTATCTGAACTAATGTCATTGTTGTCAACATGATGTCACTGGGCATGCTGTTCCATACTGTTATGAAGGAGCATACACGTTAAGATAATGAAAACCCTAATATACAGTTTGATGCATTGTATCAATAATGTTATGAAAAAATGGCATGAAGCTTAGGCCATTAAAGCAGTGTTCTCCCAAAAATTGTCTCAGGGTTGTACCTAATTTGTATATAATTTACATATTAATTCAAATTATTCAAATTTTGATAGAAATCTGATTTACTGTATAACAGTGACAGCCAGCAATGCACATTCCAATTAAAGAATTGAAGATATCACACCATGAAATCTGAGATCATGTATACCTGTCATGATCAAAAAACATTGGAAATACTGGCATTAAAAAATAGATCACTCAAAGTGAAATACCATCAGCGTTGCAGGCAACCTGTCAGGGTAGTAGTGTAAACCAGAATACACTGCATTAAAGGCCATATCACTGATAGAATGTAGCAATCATTTGTAATTTCTTCAATAAAATCACCACAAGGAAATACTCACTCTGCATAAAAGAACATTCAACGTAGGATGCCTCTTAATAAATGCTTTACTGCTTGGATTAACTTGTTCACCACATGATGTACAGTGTACAATACCAACATCAACAACACCATGGCTAACTAGGAAAAAAAAGTATGAAGATAGTCGTAGTTATTCATGAGAGAATTACACAATACTAATCAATCCAGTATGAATGAGGCAGAAAATCATCAAATCAGCTTGAAGAGCGGTGGTTGTCATGCAACGCATATTCGAATTTCATGTAAACAATGTATTTTTACAGGCGTTGTGTACGTTGCTACAAGTCACATATCGAAAAGAACGGGTCAACCACCGCCCTTTAAATTTTGCAATTAATTGTTTTTTAAACCATTTTGGAGAATCTAAGGGCTCTGTGAAAATAATCATTTGGGGGAAGGAAGATGCGGAATACTGAAGATTTATAAGATGTTGTAGAAGAATCGTCACTATTAACAACCATCCAACGAACATGACCCAGTGCATGAACAAATTTCTTAACTAATGATAAATACACTATAAAAAATAAATACATACGTCGTGATGCAGATGAGGATCTTTTATTTCTTGATTCATTACTTTTATTTACATCATCAGGAACAGCTTCTGGTTGTACAACAACAGTACCTAATCAAACCAAAATAATATTTCAAAGTCTGTAATTCCTGTTTGATGGGGAATTTCATCGGGCCATCAAGACAATTGCTGTGACAACAATCCGCAACCACAAGGGCTAATCAAACAAAGCTGAGAAAGAACTCCCATGTGCTGAGAGTATTGGAGACACATTAAATATAATTTGAAATTACTTAGCTGAAAACTAATTATGCAAATCAGAAAATTAATATGAACAGATTTGAGTGTAAAACTAATGAGGTCTGCGCAATGTAACAGAAAATCTATGTTTCCAAGTTTAATTGAAATGTGATTAGAACCAAAAAATTATGAATTATTATGCTTATTAGGGAATTAATATGAACAGATTTTTACCCCAAACTAACTAGGTTTGTACATTGTCCTAGAGCATCTTTGTACTAAGTTTCATTGAAATGGAATAATTAGTACTTTAGATATCAGTGTGAAAGCTTAAAATTGGTTAATTATGCAAATTAGGTAATTAATATGTACAGATCTATTGTCCTGCAGCATCCATGTACAAACATTCATTGATATGTGATGTTTAGTACCCGAGATATCAGTGTGAAAGTTGGAAATTGGTTAATTATGCAAATTAGGTGATTAATATGCACAAATATTTACGGAAAACTAATTGGGTCTCTGCATAATTCTAGATTCATTGAAATGTGATGATTAGTACTTTAGATATCAGTAGAAAACTGAAAA